GCATGAGCCACCGTGCTCAGCCTCAGGTAGGTACTATTATCTTCATTTTAGAGGTGAGCAAATGAGGCATAGAGAGATTGATAGTCTTGCTCATGTTTGCATAGCATTTGAGTAGAGAAGCCAGAATTGTGGTCTGCATTATTTTATTCCAGAGTCTATACTTTTAACTGTCACCTTCTAGTGACCCATGGCAGGCAGCATCACATACCTGGGTGGGCAGTGGACATTTGAACGTCTTCTTGCGGCATCCAGGATGAGACTTAACACTGTGAACACAGATAGTTCCTTTGAGAGAAAGGTATTTCTTTAATCATGAGTGAGTAGGGGTCAAAGACTATGACTATCAGGAGTCACATTGTCCAAGACATTAGGTGGAAGATCACTATCTTGTTATATATTATGCATGTTGAAGGGACATTTTTATTATGTATGGAAAATATATGAACATTTTTATTATTTATGAAAATATATATGAAACATATAAGTGCCAAGGTGAACACCAAAGACATTTCTGTAATTCTGAGGATTTCCAAGGCAGGCAATCAAGATGCCTTACTTGAGGGAGTGTCACTGAATAAGGAAATATTTTAAGAGACCAAACAGAAGGCACAAGTTGGAAAAGAACCAAGTAAGAGAGGCAGAAAGAAAATTTGGTTCAAATGATGGGCACTGGCAGAAGGGGAGAGAGAAAGGGGCTGGCCTTGTTATGAAAGCCTTGTAGTCTCTGGGAAGAGCAGGAGCTCAAATGCTCAGAGAACCTGGAAACATACAATTAAAGCATGAAAATAAACAACAAATTACTCAGTAAACTGTAGAGTGCTAAATGAACATGAGGTACTTTTACAGCCAATGACATTGTTGGCAGGGTGGGCAGGAGACTGGAGAGAAGCGGGTGGATTTCTCTGGAAGGCCAATAAGTATATAACAATTCTTTTATCCTGTTTCACTTTTATTACTTATTTTACCCTGTTGTCACTGGCATGTGGTGACATTTATGTATTAGTAGATGAATGAGGGAAAGTCGACGTCGCTTGGTTTTCTTTACAGAGAAAGCAGGTCTGGAAATATCCTGGTAGGTTTATTAGCAGGCAGGAATTGGGAAATGTTGGAACACATTGAAAGACAGTGGGTGCTGGGCAGACGGTGACAAAAGCGCTAAGACCAAGCTGAGTTTTTAATTTGAGGCTTCATACACCACATATCGCTAATACAAACTATAAGTAGGGCTGGGATATATTTAAATAGTCAAATGACAAAAAGCAGACCAATGCTATAGCTTCGTGTTTATTTCTTCTATAATTTAAAAAATCTATTTCATTAAACCGAAACAAAGAAATGAAGGTACTGCAACATTAATACACAATCTACTGTTAACAGAGATGCTATCATTTGTATCATTATCTACAATGACTGTATAGTTTAATGTTCAAATTGAGACACTTTTGTATGTGAAAGAGGATGCTATTAACAATTACGCCAGGACAACAAGACTAAACCGGGATTGCGTGCTGAATCACGACGGCCCCTCGCCAGACTTTCTAACATGTTCCTTTACTGCCATCTAGCAGCAGTGGAGGGGATTGTAGGAAAGGTATAACACCTTCACATACCACATTTCAAATTAGCCTCAAAGTTGTGGTATGTAGGGGTTATCTATAATGTCCTTTGCAACCACATAGTTTCTGGATCTGTGTTATCTGCATATGTAATTATATTCATATTTGCCAGCCGGTAGTGATGTCTTCCATAGCAACCCTAATTGTCGCATGCGTAAAACAGCTGTAGATAGATAGATTATACATACGCACATATATATATATAAAATATATTTTTTATATTTGTATTAAATAATATTTACATAAAATATATTTGCATATATTTATATAAAAATCTTATGTGATATAAATATATTGATATCAATAAATATATATTTATTGATATAAATTTATTCATATAAAATGTTATAATTTTTATGTTTCTATTAAATATAATTAAATATTTATGTTAAATGTATATATAAATATTCTAATATTTATATAAATAAATAAATAGTGAGCCAAATAATCATAGTTGTATCAGATCTTAGAGACTAATTAGAGCAAGTCCCTAATTTTGAAGAGGAGGACACTGAGTCCCAGAGAAGTAAGGGCATTTGCCAGGATTTCACAGCTGGAGGGGAGTAAACAAAACCAGATTTGGGATTAGAAAGCAATTTTTCTGACTCCAATTCCAGTGTCTGTGAGTCTAGGGCCTACAAGAGAGAGAAAGGAACAGTTGAGTGTTTGAAATAACAGAATAAAACGTCACGCTCCCCTGGGCAGCCGTGTGAGGAACTGAATTTGCTAGGACAGTCCCCGAGTGGGGATTTCAGTCAGTGTTTCTCTGCCATCCATCCCCTAAGAGGGTCATGTTGCCCTCTGCCTTGCAGTTTGGTTTAGTCACTGCCCTCCAGGGAAAGTTGGTCTTGTTGAGGCGGTGGATCTGCAGTAGTCAGCAGGCTGTTCCACAAATGTACATGTCATTGTCTCTGCTGGGGTACGTTGGTGGGGGAAGAGTTTGCGGGAGAACTGTGTTTGAGATAACATCAATGGGAATGTTTTTGCGTTTTGGTAAGTAATATCAACCTCAGATATCTGGTCTCTGCACTTGGAAATTGCTTTGGGGGCCCTTCCTTCTAAACATGTGGATTCCTCCTAATCCACAGAATGTCTTGTTCTGTATTTGGGTAGTTTCGGGAGCCCATTGCCCAGTGTACCCATCACGACCATTTAAGACATTAATTCATTCACGACCATTTAAGACATTTGTCCAATTTGCCTCTGAGGTTCAAGAGATTCTCCTGCTTCAGCCTCCTGAGTAGCTGGGATTACAGGATCCCACCACCATGCCCAGCTAATTTCTGTATTCAAAATCTTTTCAGTAGAGATTTTTAAAAGGCTAAGCAAAAAAGAAGACCATTTTCCCATTAAACTAGAGTGTTAAACCTTAAATAGAATGAGAAGAATTTTCCTGGGAAAGAGAATATTAAATGGATAGATTTAGTTTCTGGGAACTGCATTGAAAACAAAAAGAACAGAGAGAAAATGAGAAACCTAGCTGAAAATGATGTAAATGGAACTGAGCAAAAATTAATGCTTAGGACTTAGGGCATGGTCAGTATTGTCAAGAGCTTCAAAGAGATCAAGCAGGCAAAGAAACACACATGTCTCTTTTGGTCTGGTAAGTATGTAATTTTAATCTTTAGGAGAACAATTTTGTTAGAATGGAAATATTTCAAGAAAAAGCTGAAGATGGCATCTAGAGGAGTGACTTCTCTGTGACAAAAGCAAAGACGTAGACCACCAACAGCAAGACTGGGCTTGAGGAAGAGAAGGAAAACGATCTTGAAATGAAAAGGTGTAATATTAAATAGATCAGAAAAGTGATAAAGTGAGAACTTCTGTTTGCAGGGGTCAGAGTGATTTTTTTTTCCGAAGAAAAGAAGTAACTTTGGACTTCTGGAAGTAAGACAACTGGGTTCAACTTATACTGAAATAAGAGTAGATGTTACTGGAGAGAATAAAGGAATTTCTCTCAAGGCGAATACTAGGTGGTGACCAGATCTGTGAACAGATTGGATTATCAAATGTTAGCAGAGTTATTTTGAATTCTATAACTGCTCAACATAAGTGTGTCTCCTGCCTAGGTAATGTTGTTACCATAATGCCTCATTAGGAATATTGATGTTGAATACATTGCTGCTCGTTATAATTTGAATCATATACCTAAAGATTTTTTAATTGTCTGTGCGTTGATATGTTTTACACCAAGAGCACATTAATCTGTTCTCCTTCAGTGCCATAAAGGCCAGTTAGCAAATTTGTAGGAGCTGAAGTTGTCACACTTAAAATGAACATGCTTTTTGTGTTATCTAGGATTAATTTTTTTCTTCTATTTTATTTTATTTATTTATTTATGTATTTGAGACAGAGTTTCACTCTTGTTGCCCAGGCTGGAGTGCAGTGGCGTGATCTCGGCTCACCACAACCTCCCCCTCCCAGGTTCAAGAGATTCTCCAGCCTCAGCCTCCCGAGTAGCTGGGATTACAGGCATGTGCCACCATACCTGGCTAATTTTGTATTTTTAGTAGAGATGGGGTTTCTCCATGTTGGTCAGGCTGATCTCAAACTCCCAGCCTCAGGTGATCTGCCCTCCTTGGTCTCCCAAAGTGCTGGGATTACAGCCGTGAGCCACCACACCTGGCCGGTTTAATTTCTTAAAGAAAGATTAACCCGATCTTTTAAGTGGTCTGATATTGTTCTAAATACTAAGGTTTTGATCCTCTCTCCAAACCTTCTCTTTTCCCAAGGTCTCCATATTCCAGAAAATGTATTAATTATCCCTGACTTCTCACTTGTGATGGGTGCCTATTGGATGTTCTGACTGTATTCCACCCCTTGAAATCCTTGGTCCACAAGGTCAGAGGGACAGGCTCCCAGATACCATCTTGTTCAAAATAACTCAATTCCCTTGGATTTCCAAGAGCACGTTATTGAGTAAAGCAGGATCACATTTCCCACCCCCACACCCCCCGCACTCTAGATTTGTAATCTAGCATGAGAGAAAGTCAGGTTAGTCTCAATTGACTGGAGGACTAACATCTGAATCTGCAATTTTCTAATCACTGTGAGACCTAAGAAACAGAAAAGACTACTTATAATAAAAGAGAACAATCAGGTGGACAAGGTATATAAAAAATAAGTTGTCAGTTGGCCATGCCATGGTTCTAAAGTTTCTTTCTTTCATTCTCCTGCCTCAGCCTCTGGAGTAGCTGGGACTACAGGTACCTGCCACCATGCCCGGCTAATGTTTTTTTTTGTTTTGTTTTGCTTTATTTTTAATACAGACGGGGTTTCACCGTGTTAGTCAGGATGGTCTTGATCTCCTGACTTCGTGATCCGCCCGCCTCAGCCTCCCAAAGTGCTGGGATTACAGGCGTGAGCCACTAGTTCTAAGGTTTCATTGCAGTTTATTTCTGGGAAGTTCCTGTGTTCTTGCTTTGCGGTTCTATGGGACATACATTTAGCCTTATAATACATTCCCCTTTGGCTTAAGCTAGCTCTAGTTTCTGTTATTTCCTTCCAACCTAGTACACCACCTGCTTCCTGAGCTGGGTCTGTGATGAGTTTGTGCCCTAAGATTAGCTAATATTTAACACTGTGGATTGGCTGCTGGCACAAAAATACGCTGCTGAATCCTTCAGCTTCGTAGCCTGGATCTCAAGGCTACAGGGTGAATTTGGGGGGCACTTAGCAGAAAATCTTTCCTTGGGCATCCCTGTTTCATCAAAGACATTTTCATTCTGGAAGGAAATCAAGAACTTGAACTCTTTTTTCAGGACCCGTTGGTACCAAAAAAAGTAACTGTATCCTTTTATTGGGGCACAATATAATTTTGCTTTCTGTCCTTCCCCTTTGACAAGATGTTTTGGAGTCTGGGTGACTTCTTCACCGGGAGAACCTGTAAAGAAAGCAGACGGGAGTTGGAGACTGAGCCCGTGAGGGAGTTTGATGACATGGATGAAAGGCTTAGAGCAGGGAGCTGACGATTGCAGAACAGGGACTTACTTGCAGCCAGGAGACAAAGGATTGTGAAGTAGGTGAATATGGGGCTCATGGCAGAATCAGGGGAAGAGCAGGCAGCCGAGGCAGGCGGCTCTCTGTGTGGCTCTCTCCACCTCTATCGGCAGCTTCTCTGTGACGTGATCACTTCGTAGAATCCAATTGCCTTTGGCATCCTGCTGTATACAAGTAACACAAATTAACAGGATATACGAAACAATTGTATTCAGCCACTGGAAAGCAGGCAGCACAGAACTGTAATTCTGCCAAAGCACCAAAACACGGGGGCAATTTCTGCACACAGAGAGTGGGGAACAGAGCAACAGAGCATGGCAAATTTTGAGTTGCGGAAACAGGTTACAAAATCAGCAGGGGCTGAGGCAACTAGAATTTTCAAGGAAAGATCACCAGAGAGGAGGAAGCTGCACAAGAACTCCAGATGTCTGGAGGAATTATCTTAAATTTTGGCTAAACAGTAATCTGTGTCTGTGTAGGGAAAAGCTTTAAAAGGCATTGGAGAGAAACCCCAGAAAGGCTTCACCAGCATCCACAGAATGTCCATGCTCTAGTAATGAGACAAAATTAGGCTAGAGCAGGAGTTGGTGAACTACAGCCCACGGTCTGGACACCTATTTCTGTAAACTGTTTTAGGGGCAGGGGGCAGGAGGGTAGACGTAGTTCCAGAATGGCTGCGTAAGGAGCTTTAAATACCCTCTCCCCAGAGAAAAAGACGTAACTGCTGAAGATTTAAAAATAACCATTGGGGAATCTCTGAAAATTCATGGGTCACGATCAATTACCTGAATCTGATCTTGGGTTAATACTTCTTGGCCTCTTAGAGACTTGGAAACATCTAGTGTTGTTAATCTCTATAGGTGGTGATGTAATAAACTATTCCATAGTAGGGATATCTGCATTGTCTTTCAAAATTAAAATAAGGATGAGGACACATTCATTCTCATCCTCTGAAACCGATAATCTATAGCTAGGAGGTACCAATTCTTTCTTATACTCGTGAACCTTATGCACTCAAACATCCATTTTTCCAATCCATCATTATAACTATTTTAGCCCACTAAAGACCATAAGAGGCCGGGCGCGGTGGCTCAAGCCTGTAATCCCAGCACTTTGGGAGGCCGAGACGGGTGGATCACGAGGTCAGGAGATCGAGACCATCCTGGCTAACACGGTGAAACCCCGTCTCTACTAAAAAATACAAAAAACTAGCCGGGCGAGGTGGTGGGCGCCTGTAGTCCCAGCTACTCGGGAGGCTGAGGCAGGAGAATGGCGGGAACCCGGGAGGCGGAGCTTGCAGTGAGCTGAGATCCGGCCACTGCACTCCAGCCTGGGCGACAGAGCGAGACTCCGTCTCAAAAAAAAAAAAAAAAAAAAAAAAAGACCATAAGATAGTGGCTTTTAGAAAGCTATTCTGGTAGATTTCAGAAATCCCGTTTCTTCTGAACAAGCTGTGGTACTTTATATTTTGTATTACTATTAAAAATGTAAATCAGACTCTAATAATTTTAATATATCTTCTAAAGCACCACATCTAACGTTTGAATATAAGTCCTGCTTATATGCCACATAAGTGGTTCATCAACAGATTCATATTAGGGAAAATAGTTAAATGCATTGTAAATAATGCATGACCCAGACAATTTATTTGTCTTAAATTCTGGCGCAAAGTTTTAGCAGTTCGAATTTTCCTACTTGATGAGAAAACTGCGAGACCGCATCCATGTTCCTATGAGGGAAGTTTCTTCTCTTTCTTAGGGCATGGATTCATGAGAGTGAGGTTCCGTCTTGTCTAGGCTTGCCCTTAAATGCAGAGAGCTATACAGCTGTAGGATTCCTCACAAGTCTAGATGATACAGATGTCTGCCAGACTGGGTTTGCACTGGCCAGTGTTAAGGTAACAGGTTCCTTATCCAGAGTGGCATTGTTCTCATCACGTACATCTCTTTGGTTTATAACTTCCAGGAGTTTAAAATCAGTCTATCTGGCTTGTTTATTACCTTATTTCCAGAACCTGGAACAATGTCTGTTATACAGGAGTTCCTAAATACATATTTGCTGAACAAATGACATAAGAATGAACATCAATAGGCAGTCTAAGTCCTGAGTCTTGTTTACACCATTGTAAGTTTCATCACTCACATCTGAGTGTCACCTCTCTTTCTATCTCTGTAATCAGGATATCCATAGAGTCTGGGAGCAGGGGCTGGAGAGGAAAATGGGGTTGAATATTGGATTACCAGAGGAAGGTGTGGAAAAAGACTACAGTGTTAGTGGCCGAGGCAGACAGGCTATCTATGCCCAGGACTCACTGCCCTCAGGAGGCAAAGGGACTCACAGCAGAGGAACCTGGTGCTATAAGGCAGGCTTGGAGCAGCAGCGGGCCCTCAAGCTTCAGAGCTCTAAAGGCTCTGCCTCCAAATTCTGTGTGGTGTTTGTATTTTGTCTCTATTACCTACAGCTCTCTAAAACCCTGCACGTATTTGCTTGGCAAGAAATTGGCAAGTTTTTAAGGATCAAAGAGGGGTCTCAGACTCTCAGATAAAATAAAACAGGGTTAGTTTTTCTAGGTTAAACTAATGTGTGGTCAGCACTAACAGCATAACTCAGAGAATATACAGGTGGCTAGTTCATGTCTACGCTTAATGAGGAAGCCAGGCAGGCAGGAAGAAAGGAAAGAAGGAGGGAGGGAAGATTGAGAAGGACAAGAGAGAAATCTATTTTTATTGAACCTGAGCTTCCTCCGGAAAGACGGGCTTTATGCAGGTTGTATAAATTAATCAATCATCTCTAAATAGTATGCTTCCAAATTGTATGGTTCATACGGAAGAAGCATGAAAAGGTCTAAGCCAGCCTCTCTAGCTAAATCCAGGGTTCTAGTCCCTGTGGTGAACGTGCTAAACCTGTAGGTCTCTTCTCTCTCGGTTGGGCAGGAAGAGGGTGGGTGTATATCTGTGATACCACCACGCGTACCCACTCTCGGACTCCAAGTGTCGTTTTTGACATAGTCAGCTTGCAGTTTATGGTGACCCTTTCCTCGTATCTCACAGCTTTCTGGACTGCATGTTGGGCTAGTCTGGATAAAGGATGCTCTACAGCTTCTCTCACCACTCTTGGAGGCAGCTGATTTTCTGCCTGCACCTGTCCCCGCACAGACTGTCACTTCTTCATCCATGTTCCATCCTCATAGGTTCCCTACCATGCATATAACCATGGTTCAAAGTTTACTATTTGAGGAAGACACCTCACATCTCTACAAGTTAAAGAGTTTATGTTTAATTTCTCACCTTCTAAGGGAGACTCATTCATCTTTAAAGGATCCCTTGGGATCAAGATTTAAGTTCTGCATTTTTTACCCTTCATCCTCCCAGGTTTATCCCAAAGACCTTCTTACTCTGTGTTGGTCCTCAGTGCAACTCAGTGCTAGTCACCAGTGAGGCATAGTCACCAGGGCTCACCCCTTTGGCCAAGACCCAAAGAAAAGCAAGAGCAATGTTGGTGAGAGTGTGGAAATCTTCCGGTTTATAACCATTTACCTTCCTATTCGAAGGTCTGACTTAGAATCCATATAAACTCTGAAGAGAGAATGAGCCTGGGAAATAAATTGTCTACATTTTGATCCTGGCTCCATCACAAACGAGATACATGATAAAGGGCTAGTTACTTGTCTGTGTCTCAGTTTCCTCATGGATAAATGAGTGAGGTTACAATAGTACTAACTTTCTGAGGTTGTTGTAAAACTTACATGAACTATAAATATATGTGAAGAAGACTTAAGGTCTAGCATGTATTAAGTGCTTAGTAAATGTTAGCCATCATTATATTATCATTAATATCATTAAAGCAAACAATTTGTAAAAGCTCTTTTGTAATAGATCTTGTCATGTTTTTCCTAGATTATCTTTATTTAATGTGCAAAATTTTACAATTTTAGATAGCCATATAACTATATTTTCTGCTTTTTTTCTCAGAATACATTCTCATTGAGGGATTTTAATTATCAAGTAATTTGTAATTATATACTTCCATGTGACAATTTATGAGGTTGCAATATTTCTCACTCAGCATTTTGTTTATCTTCGTTAAGGGGAGCAGGATCTTCCATCTTCTTCCCTCCTGTAGTTTTTCTTATTGACTTTTGCTGGCGCTCTTATGCACCTTAATGACATTGTTACTGTCTTCCATACAGATGGCTCCATGATCTTCATCTCCAAATGTACTCTATTTTCAGCATCATTTCTTTATATATTTATGATTTCCATTTGGTCGTCACAATAGTACCTCCAGCTCCAGATATGAGCAGATTAATGTACGGTCTTCTTTTTTTTCCCTCTCCAATGTGGTTTTTCCTCTGAGAGATTTTTATCTTGGGACACCTGTGCTTTCATTCTCCCATTAATGAGGTAGTTGCTCCAGGTCTGGGCTAAAAACGTGGATTCTCCAGGAGGATGAAATCCTATAAAACTTAATCGAATGCCAGAGACTTGAGTTTATACGACATTGGGTCTCCATCATTCTTCACATATCACCTCTTATATTTCTAAGCTTCTGACTTAGATTAAAACAATGAAAAAAAGAAAGAAAAAATTCCTATTCGTCTTCTGAAAAGGATAGCACGGGTTCTAAATGTAATTCTGGGAAAATACCACCAACTGAATGTTAGGCATGTATAACCACTTTTCCATTCTTGGCATAACTGTCAATGGTTTTTATCGGTTTGTACTCAACTCTGTCTACAGATGAGATATTGACATTCACAAACCCACTTCCTATTGTTGTGAGAGGTGGCGGGGGAGAAGTCCTAGAGAAAGCACCTGGATCTGGGAAACAATGAGGTTTATGAACAAAGGGGAGGCAGCACTGCAGCTCTGTGTCTTTGCTGCTGGCACACAGGTACACAGCTGCATCCTCCAGGCCTGGTGAGCGGATGTCAAGAAAGCAGAAAGAAGTGTTTGGCCTCCTGGATTGGAAGTTATCAGGGGTGTCTGCTTCATTGTTAAAATCTTTGTCATAGTAGTGGAACAGCAGCTTTGGGGCCTGACTTGGCTTCTGCTGGTACCAGTACATGACCTTATGGTTCAGATTCTGAGAACAACTCAAGGTCACTGGCTTTTCCAACTGAGTAACCTGGTATCTTGGGTTCTGGATGACCATGACATCCCCATGACCTGTAGAGAAAGAAGACAAATTTGGAGTCAGAGTTAAGGAGAACAGTGTTACTGCTATGAATGAAAGGCGTAGACTGAGGACAAGATAGCTTTAGTCAAAGATTTCCTTTCTGCCCAGTGCTCACCTGTTCCAAGGAGACAAAGGGCCATCCAGTGGAGAAGCCCAGGACTCATGGCGGGAATACCACCTCATGCAGGAATGAAGCATCTGTCTGTCTCAGGCTCTGATTCCTGGGTTGAGAGGCGGGAGTTTAGAGAGTCTCCAATCCCTGATAGGCAGATTCGCCTGTGATGACTGTTGCTGTTGACTTTACAGGGGCCAGGATCATTCCTTGTTGCAATGTGATACACAACTTCCTACTTTGCAGGTACATGGGCTTGTCTGGAACAGGGATGGAACAGATATTTATTTTCTATATCATTTGCTGCTTCTTTGAGACAGGTGTCCCCATATTTGCCCCATCCCTGTCTCTGTCCCATGTTCCTCCAGTTCTCCTCCCTTTACCCCACTTTTCTCACATCCTAAAAAGCAGCCCAGGGGTTTCTCCATAAAGATAGCATTTGCTAAAGTCTCACTCAAAAACCATTAAGATAGTGCCTTTGCTTTTTGCTACTCACATTAAAGATGGATGAATGTGATTAGGTACTTAGTGTATTTACTATAGAAAATTAATTTCTATTTACACCATGAAATATATTTAAAAATATTGGTGCCTAGATTTAGGAAAACTGATTACATAATATTTGTAGTACAGAGATATATGTGGTAAGTAGGGTCTGTATCTGACCTAGTCCAGGAACTGTGCAAAATGATACTTGAGAAGAGGGGCCTTCTGCCTGTAATTATTGTAGGTGTCATCTAGAGCTTCACCACTCAGTGTGGTCATAGACTGGCAGCTTTGGCATCACTTGGACTCTCGTTCAAAATACAGGGAATCTTAGGCTCCAACCCTGACTGATTGGATTACAATCTGCATTTTAACAAGGTCATAATTTACATGCACCTTAAAGTTTGAGGAGCACTGGGCTAAGAGGATTTTGGAGATGGTGGAGAAATATATGCAGAGCAGGATGTTGAGGACACATTGTAAGAAATGATATTATGTAAAGATGATTCAGATACACTCAATTGCATGGTGGCCTTCCTAAGTATATCGTTTCTTTTTTGTCCTGAAGGAGACAATTAGAAGTTGACTATTAGGAGCTTGCTGGACTAGCTGCTATGAATCTGTGCCTTTCACTGGTCTGATTGAGAGAAGAATAAGGATCATCCATTTCAAGTCTAAGGTGGCAATCCATGGTATTTTAGTGGTCTAGGAACCTATAGAAGACTCCCTATTATGAAGATACCAGTTCTTAAATTAATATATAGTTTTAATATGATTTCATTCAAAATATCAGATTGGATAAGGCTGATAATAATTTTAATAAACATGAAAATTTGAAACTGTATCATAAATGACATTTGTAGGCACAGTGTGGCAAACAGTAGGAAATATTTGATGCTAGAGGTGACTGTTTTCAAGGTTCCCATGGCCTGGGTCTTGCCTGACTTCCATCATGGTTGAGGAGATTATTACAGCAGCGTGCCTGTTGTCCATTAATGGAACCCCATTGGTAAGCTCTGTCTACCATCACAGGGTGAGTCTGGTCCATCTGTGTAGCCAGCTTGGTCAGCATCGTATGCATGTAGCCTCACCATCCTCACGGCACCCTGCTGAGCCCACTGCCAACACCACTTCAGGACAATGAGAGTGATGGGCACTGGGAAGCATTGAAAGGCTTTCAATTCCATCTTATCCAATCATATGCTGTGTATTTATGACTGTAGACACTTACATCCAGACAGACAGGTTCTCTTAGGGATTCTGTAGGAAATACCTCATTAGTTCTTGCAATTTGTTCTGGGTGTGGCCTCATGTGGTGTCATGCCCAGGGGTTGCTTCAGAGTTGCCATCTCTCACCTGTCCAGGTTTAGGATGAACTTCCTGTCATAGGGTAATAATTAAGACAGAACCTTTACTGATGAAAGGAAAAACGTAAAGGCCAAGGGCAGCATGGGAGGAGAAGACCCGGGTCCTCCTATCACGTCATCCTCCTATCACGTCAAAGAGAGGTGTGCTGGGTTCAGGGGTCCAGGCTGCTTAGCACTAGACATTCGAGGTTTGAAGTATCAGCTGTTTATAGGAGTTGCCATCCTTGACTTCTTCGTGTATACTTTAAATTGCAGCTTTTATCACTTCCTGGAAAGTCCAAAGACCTTAGAGCCCTTATCTTCATTTATTCTTTCCATCTTTTATGCCAGTATTCTTCGTTATTCATAGCTACTCTAAAAATAGCTATTAACTGGAACATGAAGACATATTTGAGGCTTAATCAGAATAAAAGTTGATGTTTTGGAGTGTGCTCAAAAGTTTTGGAGACCTAATGGACAACACAGTGACTATAGTTAATGATTATTGTACACTCGAAATTTTCTGAGAGTAGATCATTTTCACCATACATACACACACAAAAGTAACTTTATGAGGTGATGGATATGTTAATTAGCTTGAGTGTGGTAATCATTTTGCAATGTATATGTATATCAAAACATCGCCTTGTATACCTTAAATATACACAATTTTTTTCTGTCAATCATACCTTAAGAAAGATTAACAAATAAAATAACATGACAAAAATTGTACATAAAGATACCACCTGAGCTAACAGAACTATAGAGCCACTGTCTGCCCATTACAGGATAGAACATTCGGTGTCTATAGTATGAAATGGCAAAGCACTGAATTAAACTTCCACTTGTTAGATTTTGGAGTTGAAGCAATGTACCCACCAAGAACTTGTTTTGCCTCATAGCTGCTATTTTTAAATATAATGGAGAGATTACAGAGTGGAAAAATAAATCAATAATTTAGTTACTTATGATGACCTTGGATTACATAACACAATAAAAGGAAAGGCACCTGTTAGAGTTCTCTAGCTGAAATTTTGAACAAAAACTAATGTCCAATATGTGACTATGCTACCTGTTAGAGTTCTCTAGCTGAAATTTTGAACAAAAACTCATGTCCAATATGTGACTATGCTTTAGAAATCCATTTAACTTTGTTCTTGTCATACTAAAGGAGTTGATGGACAAGTTTCAAGCAAGATATGTTTGTGATGCCTGTGACAGAAACAATATACCTATTCATATTACATGTCCACATAGGAAGAGAGAGTACTGATTGTCTAAAAATTGGGTCTTGATTATTAGAAAAGAAAACAGGTTTTCAATCGCTTGAAAAAATAAAAATCCAAGCCCACTTGAAATATTTTCTCAGTATTCATTTGCATAATCAGTATTAGGATATGAGTTCAATAATAATTTGAGGTTCTAAATAACAATCAGACTGGGAAAATGAAACTTATTATTATAGTGAATTTCAGGATTGTTTGCAAAAACGTGGCTGAAACACGAGCAGAATATTGGAATCCAGATGTTAAAAGAAGGCAGTTGAACCAAGTAGAATGTGTTATACTATTAGGTCCCACTAAGAATTACATATTCCAGGCCAGGCATGGTGTCTCATGCCTATAATCCCAGCACTTTGGGAGGCCAAGGCAGGAGGATCACTTAAGCCAAGAAGTTTGGGGCTAGCCTGGGCAACATCGTGAGACCTGTCCCTACAAAAAACGCAAAAATTAGCTGGGTATGATCAGGTACACCTATAGTCCCATCTACTAGGGAGGCTGAGGCAGGAGGACTGCTTGAGCCCAGGAAGTCGAAGCTGTGGTGAGCCGTGATCACACTGCCATAACACTCCAGCCGGGGTGACAGAATGAAACCCTGTCTCAAAAAGAACAAAAGGCTGGGCACGGTGGCTCACACCTGTAATCCCAGCACTTTGGGAGGCTAAGGCAGGTGGATCACTTAAGGTCAGGAGTTCAAGACCAGCCTGGCCAACATGGTGAAACATGGTCTCTATTAATAATACAACAATTAGCCGGGCTTGGTGGTGGGTGCTGGTAATTCAAGCTACTTGGGAGGCTGACGCAGGAGAATCACTTAAACCCAGAAGGCAGAAGTTGCAGTGAGCTGAGATTGTGCCATTGCACTCCAGCCTGGGTGACAGAGCAAGACTCTGTCTCAAAAAAAGAAAAAAAAATAAGAATATATATTCCTATTGCAGCAACTGGAAGTGATCTCTAAAAATGTTCTGTATCAACTGACACGTATCTATTTATAGTGCTAACTGTATTTTTTTTTATTTTATTTTTTTTTGAGACGGAGTCTCGCTCTGTCGCCCAGGCTGGAGTGCAGTGGCTGGATCTCAGCTCACTGCAAGCTCCGCCTTCCAGGTTCACGCCATTCTCCTGCCTCAGCCTCCCGAGTAGCTGGGACTACAGGGGCCCGCCACCTCGCCCGGCTAGTTTTTTGTATTTTTTTAGTAGAGACGGGGCTTCACCGTGTTAGCCAGGATGGTCTCGATCTCCTGACCTCGTGATCCACCCATCTCGGCCTCCCAAAGTGCTGGGATTACAGGCTTGAGCCACCGCACCCGGCCGCTAACTGTATTTTTTAACATTACAAACCCAGACCCTATGTGGACAGAAAATTAGCATTAACCTCTGATAATGGACTTGGCTGTTCCACTCTAAAATGACATTGTTTTAAAGTGTTTGGAAATTTATAAATGCTAGACAAAAGCAACCTAAACTCATCACCACCATTACCAGCGTCACCACTATCACCCTTACTAGCATCATCATTGAGCAACATAAAAGCCTGTAGTAAATGCATTTTTATTCACTATTTTTATTTTCATCAGAAAGACTTGTTTATCTTACTTATAAGAAGGGATATAAAGATGTGGCCTCACAGTCAGAGTCACAAACCTTTCAGAGCAACAGGATAAACAAGAAGGCTGCTGTGCTTTATAACCAGGGCAACATAACACTTCAAAAAATAAAATCAGAAACACATAGATTGAGTTCTGTTTAAAGAACTTCAGAGATCCCCCAAACTACAAGTATTTTCATCCAAATCTTCTTGGAATACTCTTGTATTTCATGAGTTAGTTCTGGTTCTTTATCTCCCCTCCCTTGGGGGAGGAGGCACAGGGAAAGCCTTCCTTTTGGGCGGCTGTGAGTTGAGAGGAGAAGGCTATGGTTTTGTACAGCAAGGACATGACTGTGAAGCACTGTGTCTTGGCTGCTGGCACAGAAATAAACTCCAGAATCCTCCAGTTCTGCAGGCTGCACCTTCAGAGTAGAATACGTCCCTCCAGTCCTTTCAGCTGAGAATCGCTTGTTGGGCATACCGGACTCATCCTGCATAGACGCTCTCAGAAAGTATATCAGAAATTTTATTTCTTTTCCCATAACACGTCGATACCAATAAAGATAATCATGTCCAGAAATTGGGTCACATCTCAGAGTTACAGCCTGGCCCTTCTCTATTACCCTGTGGCTGGGGAACTGAGTAACTCCAGCTTCTGTATGCTCTGTGGGAAGAGACAAAAACAGAATACATGACAATACATGGCATGAATAGACTGGGATAGGGTAGAGCACAGATATTTAAGTACCTGAAGACTCACTTGCTCCCAGGAGACAAAGGGACACTAAACTGAGAAGCCTAGAAACCATGGCAGGACCCAGGTAAATCATGTTTCCAGGTGAAGGAGCTTGCAAGCATGAGAAAAAGGAAAGCAAATCTGTCTCTTGGCCCTGTAAGATGTGGCCTCCAGTGACATCAGCATGTTAACCGATGTCCACAGCCTCAGGAGCTCCCTCTAGGGACAGGAAATATAGAAGACCTAGCCAGGACTCTCTGAAGATTGCCTCTAGAGGGGGCAATGGAGAAAAACCGACGTCAATTAAAATCAACCTGTTTATGCATTTGACTAGATGTTAACCTTATATATACCACTCATATCTCCTGAGTCTGATGTCTAGATCCTACCTTATCCCATCTAGCCCTGTCCACCCTCATGTATCACATCTCCAAAGACTGTGGGGCATTTCAACTTATTGTAGTTATTGTTGCTATTGCTAATGATCAATATTTACCTTCAAATTCTCTTTTCCCATTATCTCTCTAATGCACTCCAATCAAGTTTCCCACCCACCCCCACCATTCTCAAACAGCATGCTCAAAACATGAAAGATTATCCTCAACTTTGCTTCACCAACAGCCTTCCAGCTGAAAATCTTAGAGTGGTCCTCGAATATTCTTTTTCTATCCCACCCTATAGCCAATCCATTAGGAAATTCAACTGGCTCTATCACCAAAATACACTTAGAATCCATCCATTTTTTTCATCACCTTCATTGCTAACCCTTGGGACAAAGCCATCATCATCTTTTTCCTGGATTACTGCAATAGATTCCTAGCTGATCTCCCTGCTTTCATCTACTCTACTTCTGAATTAGCTGTCAAACTCAGCCCTCTAGAACATGCTAGATCATGTCACTCATCTCCAAATCATCTACTAGCTCCCAGTTTTATTTGGAATAAGAAAGCAAAGTAACAAAGCACTTAAGTCCATCAAGGTCTTGGATGATCCATCCTGCCCCATTACCTCTCTGACGTAAACTCTACCACTCCCTTCCTTAAATTTTCAGTAATACGGGCCTCCTCATTGATCCTAAAATATTTTTTAGGGCCTTTGCACTGGCTCTTTCCTCTGCCTGGAATGCTTTTCCCCCAGATACCTACATGTCTCTTTCTTTCATCTTGAAATCATTGCTCAAAGGTCACTTCCTCATTGGGCCTACTCTGAACAATATATTGTCATTTCAACGCTCCTTACTCTGACAGTCCTGGTCTCCCTCACGTTAGTCTGCCTTTTCTTGTCTACATTGCAGGTATCATCTGCTAATACACTAAATGCCTTATTTATTTGTTTATCTCTGTCTCTCCCTCCCCGCAAAAATGTAAACATCAAGCAGACATGAGTCTTTGTCTTTTTTCCTTTTAATATGTGCACTGAGAACATCATACAATGCCTAAAATTCTTTCAAGAGGAGGTACTGCTGGAATAAAATCTTGAAAGGAGACTAGTCTTTTCCAATAACCTATGGAAGGCATACCCCAGACAGGGGGACATTAAAGTCTCAAAATTATTTTCTTTCTTTGTAGTTTGGGATGGGTGTCAGATAAAAACATGAGAGCAAGTTTTGCAGAAAATATTATGAGGACATGAGTTTCTTGGCCTAGTCTCAGGTTAACTGGACATATTGGAGTATATTAATTTTGAGTGGCTGCTATAAAAACTACCACAAATTTGCTGGCTTATAATGGCAGAGATTTATTCTCACAGTTATGGAAAAGTCCAAAATCGATGTCACTGGACCAAAATCCAGGTGTCATCAGGACCACATTCCCTCTAGAGGATATAGGAGAAGATTCATTCCTTGCCTCTGTTTCTAGTGGCTGCCTCACTCCTTGGCTTGTGGTTACATCACTCTAATCTCTTCCCCTATGGTCACATTGCCTTCTCTTCTCCATGTGGGTCTGATCTCCCGCTGGCTATCTCTTATAAGGACACATGTAATTGCATTAAGGGCCACTAGGCTCATCCAAAATAATCTCCTTATCTCCAGATCCTTAACTTCATCACATCTGTAAAGTCCACTCTCTCCATCTAAGGTAACAGAGGCAGATCCCAGGGATTAGGATGTGGATATCTTTGTGGGGAGGGGTATTATTCAGCCAGCCACACAATACAAAATCTGGCTTTTGGAAATTCTCATAGGTATCATTTTCCTGCAATAGTAGTGCATCAGCTTTAATCTTTTGTACATAAATCTGACATGGACATTTTCTTCACAGTGGAGCCTCAATATTTGCCTCCTCATAAAAACTAGCTTTGGTGGAGTCTATGTGGCCCAGCATGCTTGGGATTGTACACAAAGGAGACTACAGAGGGAGCCCCTGTCTCAGAGAACCATCAGAGAAGCTCTAGTGATGGGCTTCTTAATAACGGGCTTCTGCTCAGCCTCCCTCACTACCCTTCCACTCCGCCATGTTTAGGATGCAGTGAAGCAGAGGTCAAGAAGAAGAAGAGGTTGAATTCTAGGTCTATCTGAGAGCTCTGAGTCTGGGGAGTAAGGACAACTAACAGCAGCCTCACAAATTGGCTTGGTAGGGACTCAGGTGACCCAAAGCTGGAGGACTAATGTCCTGTAGCTATAACAATACTACCAAGTGACTTTATATCCTTCATCCAACACCCACTGGTGCTAACATCACACAAACTATGAATTTGACACTGGCACAGTTGTCAAGTTCAGTTTTACTAAACTAAAGACAGTTCAGTTTTACTAAAGACTGTAATCAGATTTCCCCAGTTTTTCTGATAATGACCTTTTCCTGCCCTAGTACCTAATCCAGGATCCCATATTACATTTAGGTGTCATATCTTCTTAGTGTTCTTCAATTTGTGACAGCCTCTTTCCTTGTCTTTAATGATGTTGACATTTGAAGATTACTGGTCAGGTTTTGTAGAATGTCATTCAACTTGGATTTGTCTGATGCTTTCACATTATTAGACAGGAATTATAGATTTGGGAGAGGAATATTATAGATATGTAGTCACATGATAACATCACAACATTGCATCATAAGAGAATGCACACGAGGTTCACAAGACTTATTACGGGTCATGTTTATTAACTTTGGTCACTTGATTACCATTTTTCTATTTCCCTTGTCTATTCATTAGAGGGAGGCCACTGAATCCAGGAGAGCAGAATCTAGGGGGATGAGTATAAAAGAATGTATGGGCATATGTTAAAACCACCGTCTTAATTAATATTTTGGGGACGATACTTTACAACTGTACAAATGATCAATTTCTTCTTAAAGTTACACCCACTAATTTTAGCACTCGTCATTGGGTCTTATGTGTGGCAACTACTCACAGTGGTGTTGTCACAGTGACTTTTCTATTTCCCTCTGTTTCTTCTACATATGCAATTTGGAATTCTTCAGTAAGAGATTGTCCTGTCTCACATTTTTTATTATTTATTTATTTAATCATTTCATTTTCAGTGTGAACTTACGGATTTTCTTTTACAAATTGTTCCAGCCTTAGTCATTGGGGAAGCTCTTTCAGATGGATTCCTCTGTCCTTTTGAGATGTGTCACATCCTTTTTCTTTCTTTCTTTATTTTTTTTTGGAACACACCTCGTTACAACATTCTTGTATTTTTTACCTCAGGGTCCTAGAACCACCTTTCATTTTTTTAATTGGAGAATATTTGGCAACAAACATCTGGGCACTAGTGGTCTTCTAAGTGGACAGAACTATGAAATACATATATATATACCAACCCATTATTCACACAGGTATGTATTCATTTCTTTACCATTTTATCTATATGTTTAAAAACAATAAATTCATACTGATATCTCCAAACAGATGTTCTTGTACGTTAGAAATGTTAGAAATGTTCTTCAGTTTTGCTCTGAGACTTGAGTTACTTGTAAACACTTTGATATTTTGAAGTCTCGCCCACGTAGACCAGGAGCCAAATTTAGTGAAGGGCTTGTTTTGCTTTAATACTGAGGCAAAAGTCATCTGAAACCTCTGCTGATTGACCCATGAATTATTAAGTTTCCCATTCTCACTGCTCTCTCTCTCTCTCTCTATATATATATATATAATATATATATTATATCTATATTATATATAATATATATATCTCTATATTTTATATATATATATATATAAATATAATATATATATAAACTTTTAGCCCTTTGTGAGCTCCAGGCATTGTTAAGTGGCTCTTTCTCCAACCTTAGGGGATTTCCTCACACATGTACTGCTTACAGCACAGCTGAAAGGTTAAGAGAGACCCTAGGAAGGTCTCCAGGATTCTCTCTGTGCAGCAATCGCCTTTTCAATGCCCTGTCATGTGAAATCTAGCTGCTTTGATCTTGTATTTCCAACTCTGACTCTGAGCTCAGTGAGATCACCCAGCTCCGCCTGGATTCTGCTTTCTGGCCCATGGCCTGGAAACTCCCTCCAGGTATTAAGACAGTCATAGTTCTCAGCTTGGTTGTTTCCATCTCTCAGAGATCATTGTCTTCTGTTGCCTGACTTCCAATGTCTTGACAACCGTTGTTTCACGTGTTGTGTGTACGTGTGTGTGGAGGGGGGCAGGGTGGCGGGTGGGGTGTTAGCTGTTTCAAGCAAGAAGTTAAATCTAATTCCTGTTAATCCATCTTGGTTGGAAACAGAAGTTTACTCCAGAACCATATTTAATTTCTTAATGCCAGGGTCCCCAAGGGTTTTAATGGTTATGGACCTTTTTGTCAGTTTTTGGGTGTGTGTTGTACATTCCATGCAGAGTATATTTCATTCCAAACACATGTGAGACACAGCCTGAAGATTCAATTTTTCTCTCCTAACTTTTCCTTTTTATCTGTCACCCAAAGACCTGACCAAACATCCAGTTTCCAATTTCTGGATCTTTGGGGTATAATACTTTTAGTTTATAAAGCCTGGGAGCATTTTGAAGCTCCAGGATTAAGGCAAACAATGTAATTCTGGCTCTTTTTTGTCATCTCTTTCATAAGGACATTAAAATCCCAGCTTCAGCTGTGAGGTCTGTACTGCTCTGAAAACTTATAGGTCTTTATAATTTTAACTTCCCCTTAATACTCTGCCTATAAGTTCCTGCTTTTTTTTTACATAGTAAATTTCTTTTTCTTCTTAGCT